CCGACGCGTATTAAGAAAGGAGTTAAAGTCAAGGCGCGAGGAAATGTGCCCCTGACGACGAGACTTACGTTCGTTTGCGCCAGCCGGCTGTTTGCGCGAATCGGGCGCCGCCGAGCATTTTTTATACTCCACTTATGCAACCCACCTCCCGAGGATTATAAGTGTTGGTGTGAAACGCTTGCACAGAGAGGCAAGTCTGAGTACGGTTCTTCTTGTGCTCCAAATAATCAACTGAAATAGCCTAATCATGGCTTTGCGTTGATTTCATTATACTTATCAAGGAGTTGAATTTTTCCCATTTTTCATTGGTATCTTTGAATAAATTCTAAAGTTCGTACATTGATTATTAAATTTGTGAAGGCACTAGTAGTAAATAGAGCACTATAGTGAGCAACACGAGCAGTATTCGAAACTAACCAATATTTAATTAAATAAATGTATACAGTCATGCATATTTAACCTAGACAGCAGATTTTATACACACACACACACACACACACATACACACTTTGATATGTATTACAGATTTCGAATGGAATACTAAATTCAAAACACATCCCTCTGCAATAAGAGAGATTTCCTTTGAGAGTGTCAACTTTTATAAAAACACATCTTGCATTGCACACGTATGTTATTATGCAAGTTTATTCGACTGAAGGAACTGTTGAATTCGTGATTACTTAAATTCAGGCACAAGTTCCTTCGTAGAATATAATTCAGTCATGAAAAGTCACGTGCGCTCAATTAACTCCATGCACGTATGTAAATTCGAATGTATGCATAGGCATATTCACAATGAAATAAGCCGAAGGTGAAACGAAAGTCCATAAATAATAAGACATCATAGAGCCGGCGTAAAAATGGAGTAAGCCGGTGAGTGGGCGAGTGTCGGGAAAAAAAAAACTTAGCTTCTCGATGTACTTGGAAAGAGCGCGTTTATACATCCGTGAACTAAACAGCGTGTGTCGACGGGTGCGCGTAGCGGTTGTTATTCCACGGGCACGGTCAATTATGAATTTTCTTTACGTGCCGAGCGTGCCGGAGAAAATCTCGCGCTGCGCAAGCTAACGCTGCTCCCAGAGCTAAGTTATAGTAATCGCGATATGCCGCGTACGCGTAGTGCGCCAACTTTTCCATGGCCCAAGATTTGTAAAAGAGCCGGAGACGAATGGAACACGCTTTGACACCTTTTATTAATGAATTTCACTTTGCGCGCGCGTGTGTAAATGGCGGAACGTCGAACGTGACGCAACTATTGGGACATGTATTATGGATGAGGGTGCTGCGATATCGTGCGAGACTTTTAGGTATTCAGTGCGTTTCAATTTTTCTTTTTCCATTCGATCATTTTTATATTCGTAAAGTCGTGATCGTACTATTAATTTAGACGCCAAAGACTATAAATTTGCTTTAATAATCTCGAACCGAGCTAATCAGATTACTTTTGTAAGTGAATTCTCATAACTGAGTGATATCAAAGTCGGTAAAAGATAAAATGAGTAGATCAAATGTCGAATCACCAAATTAAATTACTATGCGAAAAGTTTTAGCATAAGCTTTTCTAATAAATTATTTAATTGTATTGATTCATTCACAATGCATCATTTCTAAATACATAACAATGGAATAAATACTACGACATTTCGACTCAGCTGTAATGATAATCTAGCGTATGTTGGTGCACTTGGTTTAGCTCGCAATCATGAAAAGGGGACAATTACGCTTTCTGTGATCATTTGGTTTTATAACCACACCTCAAAAATTATTGACTAACTACAAAAAAATCAAGTTAACGAATACGTAAAATACCGTTATGTGTTGGTATATTTCAATCACATATACATAAACAAAAGCTCGTTCGATATGGGGAAAGTCGGAATCGCGTGCAAACACTTGATCCGAAAACGATATGGATGCCTCTGGCAAGCATTAAACTAGGAGAAACAATACAGCGCGGCTCGACGCAGCTGTCCGGATCAAAACCGAAAGCTCGGCGCAGGGGATAGAAGTGCATACCAAGGCTATTACGAAGCGCTTGAGATATGCACGCGAGAGCTCTGAAACTCCTGCAAACACAAGAATACACACACGCCCACGGACTAAAGGCCATAGCAACATAAATCCCTTCTATATACATTCCGCGTTTCGACTCAAAGTTTCGCAAAGCTACAGCGTGAATGTCGATTAAAATTAATGGCCTGCGCGAGCGCATAATCTTAATTTTATCCGCGAATTTCGACGGTTAACCGCTGCTGCTTTAGCGAAACTTGCATCCACCCTGTATCCTAAGATGCAGGCCACTTTGACGCTACGGAATGCGTTGCGTGAAATTGCACCCTGTGTCTCTCAGTTTCGCCGAGCGATTTTCTCCTTCGCTCGTTTTGTTTTTTTTTTGTGTTTTTATGAGTCTCCGAAGAAAATGCGACTTTACGTCGGTGTCCCTCTTTTTCTCTCGGGGAATACTCCGAGGGAATCTCGATAAATTTTAAACTTTTATGCGTTTCAGATCTGTGCGCGCGCGCGCGTCGTCGTCGTCACGGGAGCTCGTATAAATTGCTTATTTCTCGATCGCCGAGGGCAAAGAGAGCCAGAGAGCTAAGTCGCGTTTAATCATGCGTGATTCGGCTCACTCGTGCCCCCTTTCCTTTTCCTTTGTTTCGAGATCGATCGTAAATTTATGCCTCTCCCCTAATGCTTATTCAATAGCCATTGCAGATCTTATCTGCAACTCCATCTTTACCCACGCGTTTTACAATATCTTTACGGCGTAACGTTTTCACAATATCATTACGATCTATCCACTCGGGTGAAATGATATTCTGGAAATTATTAAATGTCATTTCGTTCGCATCAGTTACTATGAACAATATTTCAATCCATTTAACGCAAAATTCTATTGTGTAACCAGATCTGTTTATCAAGCATTCGATATCCATCTAATTTTACTTGATCAAAGTTTACTTATGGAGTGAAATTCATAACGCACATGTTGAATACATAAATAGAGCCCACAAGGCACGTAAAAATACGAGTTTTTTTAAAAGTAAACCTGACGTTTATTCTTGAAACTTTGATTATTATTAAGCTAAAAATAGCATTTAAGCCGATTCGAGCTTAAGGAGTCTATGCAGATCGTCAGTCCTAAAATATATACTTCAACAAGTTACCACAATACTAATCGAGTCGTTTTCTTTTGTTGTATGTACAGTAGACTAGAAAAAATACTGTATTGAACTATTGTCGGATGTCTACAAATCTGACGATTACAAATTCTTGAATGTTATCGGCATTTCATTCTATTGAAATGTCAAGCGTTTATAGATTGGAAAGTTGATGTCCGCATTTCTTTTATTTTTGGTTTTTTAAATTTAAAGCATTTTAAATCCTAGTTTCATAAATTCATACTGTCTTGGCCATCCAACTCTAAAAGTTAGGAAGGTAATAGCATTTTGATAATAAAATTGAAAATTAAATTCAATATTGTACGTTAAGCAACAAAAACCGGTTTTACACTTTAACACCCCTATAAATTGATGTTAAATTTTTCATCACAATTAACTTCTCTACAATTGACAAATTAAACTTTTACTCTATGCAATTTCTAGCGCACAATGTAACAACAAACCTTATATTTTAATAATCTCGTAAATTTTCAAGTTTATATGTCACGCGGGACTAAAAATATTAAACTACTTCAAAACTATTCGTTGCATTGCTTCAATTAAAATAAAATGGGTCAGTGAGTAATATTTCAAAGTAATACGAATATACAAGATTTTTGGAAAAATCAACTATACGTTGAAAATTATAAAAAAAGTTGCGCTTTGTCAATAGAACTTGTGCCAGGGTAATTAATGCATGAGTAAATACCGTGGCAAATTGGTATAGAAAATAAACACGAAAAAAATTGTTGCCCACACATTGCATGATACATTTCTAGCAGTGGAATTCAACCGCCAACTAAAATATCAAAATACGAAGCACTTCTAACAGTTTTCTCGATTGACAAACGGCGACGATCGCAATAGAAACGTCACCTTCAATTTCATCTACGTCAGAATCAATTCCGCAATTTCTCAAGAAAAATAATATTTCATTTTTATCTGACACTGAAATTACGCATACTCGTGTTTTGAACGGTAACACGCACTAAATGTTACATTCAGATTTCAAATCAGATTTTACATATAAAGAGTATTATTAAGATCATGATTAATAGAGTTTGTAGAATAATTTATGGGTAGTATATGCGATTTATCAACAGAGCATAGGCCACGACCGTAACGGAGATCTAGGCTAAATCATCCAATCTTTCAGATCTAATTGGTCCCAGATGACAATGAACCATCGATCCGCCAACTGACGCGTGTTTAATAAGAGGCACAGCTGACCTTGCTTTTTTCGCAAATGAAGGAAAATTAGAAGACTGGCTCCGCTTCGTTTTTTTTAACGATGTTTATACGGATACTAATTAACTTGCATTATTTGCGATACTTATAATTTATTGTAAATGTGCGTGAATATTTTGATAGTAGAAAGGGCATGCAAACTGATAATTACACACAAAATAAACTTTATCGGAAAATCAAAATATTTAACTTTTTCTTTCTGACGATTAAATGTGAAAAATAATTGAATGCACCAGTATATACACGGCAGAAGCAATATTTTCAGTCAAGCGCTTTGCCAATAAAATTTTACTTCAATTTATCAATTTGAACCATTACTGAAAACAAATTGGGCTTGTACATAAAGGTTAAAAAAAAAGGCAGAGTACATAACGTGAAATTCGGGTAAATCTCTCAAATTCAGACAGAGGAAAAAAACGTTGGCTCAAAACCTGTGTTTTTGTGAAATGTGAAAAAGCATCAATTCGTACGTAAAATTGCTTGCCAGTCTAAATTTCGCGCAACGTCAAAACAACTGACACGATTGATGGGGTGCATTCAATCAACAAAAAAAATAAAAAAAGTAGGAAATAAAGAATTTGAATCTTTCACCTGATAGTGATATGCCGACGCAATAGAGTAGACAGATAACCAATAGCAAAGTATTTTCCCTCATTTTCCTTGTTTAATTTTCTCAAATGCCTTTAAAAACTGTCGGTAAGCAACGCACGATTGCAACGAAGAAGTGAAAAAAGTCAAAGACCGATCAGACAAGTGGTGAGCAGCAGCAGGTATGTTGAAAGCGCGCACGACATCCTACGGGTCGGGAAGCCAGAAGCCGACTAACGCCGCGGTGAGCACGCGCTCACCCCTAGAAAATCGGGTTTGCGCATGCACACATCAGCGAGAGCGAGAGAGAGGCGCACAGACACGAACACTTACCTCCGCACTCTCGCGAGCGCATAAACAGATGCCCTTCTTCACCGACTCACTTGCGCGCTGCCTGATATGCGTGTGCGAGGGGGTTATGATGATCCGGTACTTGACTCACGGATATGCTGATATCGCTGATGCGTGTTTAGGCTGGCGTTGATGCGAAGTGAATGTTTCCAAATGCTCTTGCCATGCCTGCTCAGACATCTAATCGCATGGCGCAAATAAGTTTTCATATTTAGATTTGTTCTTTTACGATTTTTTGAATTTATTACTTTCATGCGTGCAAATATTCTTAACCGGATGATTATTCTTCACTTGCAACAATAAATTTCTACAGTTATTATTTTACTTTCAATAATAACTAATGAATATTTATCATTTCTTAAATTTGCTCGTGACTTGGCTTCTTTTCATCCGCTTTTTAATACGTATTTCCAGTTGTTATTCTTTGAAGAGATTTGGAATAATGCGATTTCGCGACCCCATTTGAGACTTTGTTGGTTAATTGTGTTAAAATGCTTGATAAATTAAGATAGTTTTAATATTTGCTAACTGAAATTCGACTCCAATTTTCAAAATACAAAACCACATCAAAACTTCGATTTAAAAATCTCACGGTAATTTTGATTGCAAATTATTCCCGTTCATTTTACTTTCTAAACTAGAGAAGAAAGTAACATGAAACATTAGAGGCAATCAAGAAAATGCTTCTGCACTATCTGACTTTTCAAGAAGTTTGGCAAAGTTAACGCATTACTTATGAAAGTATTTGTGTTCCATTTAAATTTGTTAAATGATACAAGATCATTAATAAATTAGATAGGTTAACACATTTTCAATGAGAATTACTTTGCAGTAGTAATTGTTCTTATGACGTATTATTAATAATCTTTTTTTCGTACATATGTTAAGCAATCAATTTCGAAATTCTAGTTCACAGATTCACGAAAGTTATAATAAATGGATAATAAATGAAATATGCCAAGTGTATTGATTGATTAAACTAATAAATTTTATAATAATTTTTGGATCCGTGATTATCCAGCAAGACGCAAAATCGAAAAAGCTCCATAATAAAGAATTAATTATATAATTTTACGAGATTAGGTATAAATTATTCATAAAAGAATGGAAGGTAGAGCTAAGTCAACATATTTTTCCAAGTGCAATAATAAAAGATTTACCGGCCGCAGTGCATCGAGCGACGCGTAAAAATGCCATGCATAAATGCATAACTCCGCAATGCATTTGCATAGCGAGCTTCCGTTCGGCGTTGCGCCGCGTACTTGCATCGAAGTAAAGGCTAGACATATGTGGCGGCGCGTTGCGCGGAGAAAGACAAAAAAGCAAAGTGCGGCAAAGCAGGGAAGTTTAATTGGAGAGAATACGCGGAGACAGAAGCCCTTGGAGCTGCTAGACAGAAAGGCCAACGCAAAGCTCATTTATTCGGCGTTTATAAAAGAAAAAGTATGTAGAACTTTCAGTTGTATGCTACGAGAGATGGTGGCGGCGGAGTTGGCGCGAGTAGTACTCGAGACTCGTAGATTAAATAACTGCGGCGGCGACGACGACGACGGAGCTTCAGTTTGAAGAGTCCTACAAGGACGAGCGGTAGATGAAAAAAAAATTACGAAACTTTATCGAGTTTTCATTAATTAAAATGCAGATTCATATTTTTTTTTATGAATTTCCTCCCCCAAAGTTTTGTCATTTTGACGACGAGATTCAATCAAGAGAATCTCTATATACCCTTGATCGCAGTATCGAAAAGATGAGCATATAAATCACTCGGCGGATAGGTGTTTGGAAATGGAATTGTAATTATATCTCGAAATGAAGTAGGAGCATTTCATCGATGATTAGTCAAAAGTAAAATCTCGCGTGTCACTCCACGTTCGATTCTATTGTATAAGGGATTTTCTTGAGAGAGAGAGAGAGAGAGAGAGAGAGAGAGAGAGAGAGAAATGATTGAGATGACTTGCGAAATAAAAAATGTAAGTGATGAATGAGTTACGTATAAGCCTTTGCGAACCCCACGTACACACATACCTATATCTATCTCAAGTTTCCTTTGCGCGTTCCTTCGTTTCTCACAACTCGCTAATGCACAAAGCCGAATTCCCGTAATTGCGCCGCAACCTTGAAGTTTCTCCAGAAAGCTCGCCTTATACCCCAGGTATATATATATAGGTATACATATCTCATGAGACTTACCAACCCAGATTTCCTTTGTACTTTCTTTTTTAACAGCTTGAGCTACTAATTTATTGTCGGACAACTATATCCGCGCTAATTTAGTGGTTGGCTTAGTATTTTACCCACTGATGTTTATGCTGATGAGGTCTTTTACGTTTTGTTTATTATTTTTCCTGGCGAAAATTTTATATAAATAGAGTTGTTGACGTATACATTAATACCTTTGATAATTAATTTCACGCTATTACAATGGTTTTCAATGTATATTTTCTCGATTAAATCATATTTCATTCGAAAGCCTTTTAGATATTAAAAAAGGTAATGTCCAAATTCATTGATGTATAATATTATTTTCGCATATATATAAAGACAATTGAAGTTATAAAATATTCATGCTAAAAACAATCTATATAAAAGAAAAACTATTAGTTGTTTGAAAAAATATTTCCATCACAGCAAGCAATTATGTAAAAGTACAATAGATACTAATAAAACTCTGAAAAATTGAGGAAAGGAAACTCTCCTTCAACTCCAATCTCAAAATGAAAGTACAAAAAAGTAAAGAAGCCCTAATATAGGACGGTACGTGTACGAATTTCATCGAGGTAAAAATTGAAAGAAAAAAAAATTGAAGTAAGACAGATGGGGGGGGGGGGGGTGTAAGAAGCGTGACTAAAAGACTTAGAGCCTTGGCATAAAAGTACTTTTATTCGGCCATAACAACTTGCTATCATCACGCGCTCTCGTCGGCTTCAGCGAAAACTTTCTCCGCGTTCTCAGTTTCATGCATAATAACGTATCTCTTGGATGCTGCCTGTCTGCTCCCGGCCTAAAACTCAAGTTACACGTACAGCGCGAGGGATGATATTAAAGAATCGAGTAGGCGGGGCAGGTGAAAAACAATTTCATTTTCCGTAGAGCTTCGATAACTCGTTATCGGGGTCGTCAGAGAGACTTGAAACATGCGACAGTGTCAAGGGGTAAAGAGAGGAGGGGATGAGTGCGTGTATCTACATCCACTGTGAGAGAGATAAAGATGATGTGGGAGAGAGAGGGAGAGAGAGAGAGAGAGGAAGAGAACTGTAGTCGTGCCAAATATCCGCATTCGATGCGGCAAACGCTTATACAATCTCGCGCTCGCGTCTGTGCTTGTAGATACAGAGAGACAATAAACTCGATGCGCCTCTCTTTGCTCGCATGAGTATATATATGTACCCTTGTATGCGAGTGCATTTGCGTATCTCGTACGCTCTATTTCTTTCGAGTCTTCTCGTCAATAAAGATTTCATCTTTCGACCTTTGTTTTCTTAGCTCGCTGGCTGCGACTTTGCTCGATATACTAAATTTAGTCTATGCGGCAAATACGCATTCACGATATAATTTATATATTTTGCAATCTTGCATATATCTATTTTTATCAATAGTACTGTCAGTGAATAACTGCTTCTAAATATAGTTTTTGGAAATGTTCAATTATTGAATCCTTGGTAGGTGGACAATTTCTCAATTTCCGTAAAGTTGAAAGTAATACAGATATTATCTGCTGGCAAGGTTCCCGTTCTCAAATATGTTGTTACTTGACCACGTTTGATCTGTAGACCCAAAGATCTTACTTGTTGCTAGCTATATGTACCACTGAATGGAAATTTGATAGAAACGTATGCTCAAGATTAATATCTATATATAAAGAAAAATTTTCAGTACAAAGTTTACAATACCGATTGGATTTATGAACGCGACAGATATTTTCACAGAAAACCTTTCGTTCACGCCAAGCTTTTCTGCTGAAAATTTTCGATTTATTTAGTAGATAGAAGCAAATTAGTGTGCTATGTATACAGTGCGTCTACAAGCTCGCTTGCTCATGCAATTCCGTAGCATGGCGAGAAACTAGCATAAAAACCAACGTTGATATTAACTTTCAGAGAACCAACTGGAAACTAAGTAGAAAAAGTAAACTCGGCGCGAAACGAACGAACGTCTAGCATCTGGCGCTAAATATAGACTTCTGCTACTACAACTGTGTTATTAGCTTTTCGTCTGTAAAACTATCCGGTTCTTCTTTTTCCTACCTTTTAAAAATTTTCATTTTCGAGCTTATGTAGATTTTCATCCGAAAATGTCGTCTAACAAACGTCTGCCTCAAGTGTTGTAACGTGTTACACTCAATCTAACCCGTTTGCGAAAAAAAAGTCAAACCATAATGTAACTTGGAATCATCGATTGAACGTGTCGCATTCTTCTTTATTTTTTCAATTTTGGAATAAGCGAAGGGAAAAGCAAAAGTTCCATTTAAGCGAAAGAAATCGGTGCTCTTTTCAATTATTCAATGCTGATACGATTTTTATTTAAAACGAAAAATTGATGCTCGAATTCAAGATTTCATTTAGAGAATAAAGTAGATCAGCCAACTTTGGGCTAGTTGCAAATCCTATTTTGAATCACCGAAGCTCTTGCTACGTACCACAAAGAATATTTAATATAAATTTCTGATTTATATATATATATATATATATATATATATATAATCGGTACAACAAATAGGAGGCATCGGTCGATAAACAAGTATTCAACCCAAAATTTAATTAGCGTGGTTTTCTATTTGCCTGCACTAGACTCTAAAGTAATAGTAAGCATCAAAATAAGAAGAGAAAAAATTACAGAAAGAAATGTGACTCATCTCGTAATTATATGTAACATAAAAGTGTTTTAATTAAAGCCGAAATGAGGCGTCCGTCGTCTGGGATCTAGAATGAAAGAAAAAAAGAAGAAAATCGAGCATATAATTTGAATCTTTTAATTAAAAGTCAAACCGGTAGCCGAAAATAATTCACAGATAGTGTCGGAAATCCGTAGGGAATTCCAGGTCGGTGGTCGCAGGCGCGTGGAAGTGACAAAGCCCGTTTCGCGGCAATCGAGGCGGGTGTTTTACGAGGCGCGTCTTGTGCATACGACACACACACACACACACGCACACACACAAACAACTTTAAATATGACAAAGCGACTCGCTGCAGATGGATTTTACGCGTTTCAAGTTTGCGCAAGTGGCACACAGAGACTTCCAGCTTGCGCTTTTTCGCATAGACTATCTGGCGCAACGCTCGTAAACCTACGTAGGCTGAATTAATTCTCGTATTTTACCGAGCGTAAAAGCGTAGAGATTCAGCGAGCTGCATTGAGATCGTCGGTTTGTTACGACATGCTGACAACACGGTGATTTTTCAAGATGGTTTTCAAATATTCTGCGTATTGTATTCTTTTCTTTTTAATTTTGTCTAGCTACGAGATTTAACGGCAAAATTAAATATTTGGTCATTGATATCTTATCGAGGGCATCTTAAACAATTCATTTTGTTGACTACCGATGATGTACCGCGACTCAAAATAATTCGTACGTGATATTTACATCATTTTTATTGTATCTTCAAAATTAAGTAGTTTAAGCTTAACTTTTGGAAAAATTTTGATAGCAACACTCACACTTGCAAAATTTTATGCAGCCGTTTTATCTTTATTGTCTTCTACATAATTAAGTTAAAATAAAAAGTTATGCATTTCATCGATAAGAAATTATTTATATGCCAATATATATTATTCATGAGCGACACAATAAATAAATGCAAGAAATATTTTCATAAACAACAATTATCCCATGCGCTCAAATTTTCGCAATAATATGTCACGGCTTTGATAATTACAGACCGACAAAATTTCAAAATGAAATAAACCTAAAAACGCGATAGTATACTTCCATAAGTTTTCGAAGCGCTGAATCGGAATCTAGTTTCAGAATTGATCCATCATCTAAGGTACGTTCTCGAGATATCCTAACCTAAATGTGCAAAAATCCGAATATTTTACTATATGTTTGCGGTTATGCAACGCCGTGAATACATTTTTTTTCCAAAAACAATTAAAGTAATGACAAAGCAGCACTCTTAACCATTAAAACCTATTTTTCGGATTAGTGTTATCTTTTTCTTTCGTCGAGATCTCATTAATTGAATCTAAGTATACTGTAGCAGTTCCGCACCAACATTAAAACAGCTCAAACCCCAAAATTAGTGATCATGTAAGCCCAGATTCTTTAACTCCAATTACCTTAACTTCCGATCCCTGTAATCTGTGATTTTAATGTTGTTACGAAACTACTAAAATACTCAACATCAATCAATATCTCAATGAAAAAGAAAGATATCTCTAATTCTAAAAATGAGGTTTAAGGGGTAAGAGTACCACTTTATGGTGGTTTTACTGGTTTTTGGAAAAAAAATTTATTCACTACTATACAAAATATAGTATCGAGTTTTTGGGTTTTTTTGGTCGGTCCGTGTTATTGTGTGAACATTTTGCATTATAGCATGAAAAAATGTATTATTTACTTTCCTCATAAAAAAAACAAATCACAACTACCGCTATAAAATAAAAATCGCATTTTCAAAACCTTTTCCAACCGTAAAATTGGCATAACCAAGGATAGAAGCAGGTAGCGCTCTCGAGCCTTCTCTGCGTCCGATATTTATTATTTGAGCGCTGCGAACGACACTTTCCCGAGAGGGAGAGTGGACTATCATTTCAGTCTGTCGGAAAGTCGCTACCAGAGCTACAGCTGAGATGGAGGATTCCCGTCACTTCAATTGCACTTCGATTGTCCTTGAAGCGAGCCAAGCCCGTCACGAAGCGACCCAAACCCTGATCCGTTTACGATCGGACACCTGTATACGCTTGACTGGTCAGCTAGATTTTGGGTTACCTGATAGAGAGAGAGAGAGAGAGAGAGTGAGAGAGAGAGCGAGAGAGAGAGAGAGAGAAAAGCCATTTTGAGCTTCAGCCAATGAGATCAAAGCATTTAGACCTACTACTATTGCAAGTCGGCAAACATCAACAACTTGCTGTCTTAGGGATTGTCAGTTTCACGCTGTCTCTGTTGGAGCGTACTCTTCACCCTCCTAATTTCTGACTTAATAGTAAAATGTTATTGTTACGAAACGATTGGATTATTGCAATACTCTGTCGATCGATCCATTAATTCAGAATCGTACTGTTTTTATAAAGAAGAGTTAACACGATTTAGAATACAATATGGGTAGCACAAAACTATATCTGTCAATAACAGTTGTTTGCTTGATTATCATAGAAATCTGGCATTGCAATGCTGCGTTAGAGAATTTGGAATCTAGTGAAAAGTGTGTGAACATTTACAAGTGTGAGCCAGTGTTGAGACTTATGAGAGTGCCGATGGTCAGAAAGAAGATTTGGAGACAAGTAGCGCGGGCACATTGCGGATTTGAAGGTAGAGTATTTCTATTGAGCGCAATGATTTTCACTGTTTTTGAAGACAAATTTGTCATCACCCATTATATTACAAAATAGTAATCGTAAAAATATCAAATTCAAGGACATAATAGAGATTATTATTAAAATAGATTAATTAATAGTTAAGCTTATCCATTTTCCAAAATTCCAGGCAACGATCACAAAGTTTACTGCGACGTAGAAAAAATAATCCGCAGGCCAGAGCGTTTCGAGGTAGTATTGGACGCTCACTCGGTAAACGACATGCCGACAGCCACTCCACCTGCGCCCGTCGATCCTCTCTCAAGTTCCACTGACAAGCACCCGAACTTTCGACTACTCGATCATGATATTTGCGGTCCCGTGCCGCAAAATTACAGAGAGCAGGCAATCACGAGGATAATTGGTGGCAAAGAAGCTGAGATCGATGAATTTCCTTGGATGGCTTTGCTCATTTATCGCGAAAATTATTACCGTAACAATAAAATTCAATTTCGATGTGGTGGCACAGTTATCAACCGCAACCACGTTATGACAGCTGCGCATTGCGTCACTCACTTGCACATCAGTTAGTTGTTACTATTGTTTAAATTATTTCTCATATTTGTTTCTAGTATCTGTTTATATTCGCGTTTGAAAAATTGCCAAACATATAATCTGGTTTCCGATTTTTTGCAGATATCAAACTGAGTGGCGTGAGGGTAGGCGAGTATGATCTGAGCAGTGAACGAGATTGCAAGAACGGCATTAAGTGCAATTATAAGCACGAAGATTTTAAGATCGATGAAGTTTACCCCCACCCAGATTACTCGAACGAAAATTATCACAACGACATTGCCATTATAAGGTGAGATAGACACACACGTGGGTTAAAACTGTTACCCAATATTATTCATTATTAATTGAACTAGATTAAAATTTTAATAAAACCCGTAGGCTGAAAGGCTCAATTGACTTTAAGCGAACGCACATCCGACCAATCTGTCTACCCATAGATAAGGCGGAAGTTTTGCCGATGCAAGGAATCGTGACAGGTTGGGGTTCACTGGGAGATGACTCGCCGAATAGTCGAGTGTTACAAAAGGTCACCTTACCAATTGTGTCTTTGGAAAAATGCCAGATTCTCTATAGTGACGTGATAAAAATCGGTTATAAGCAATTCTGTGCGGGAGGATACAGAGGCATGGATTCTTGCAGCGGAGATAGCGGGGGTCCCTTACAGGTTGTCTCCCTATACAGAGGCAGTTTCAGAATGGTTCAACGAGGAATCGTCAGTTACGGAAGAAGTACTTGCGGCTTGGAGGACTCGCCCGGCGTGTACACTAGTGTAGCTGATTACATGCATTGGATTTTGAATACGATCAGAGCCTAACTGGATCACGACACATTTGTGTGGTGAAATGACGGTGGCTTTTGAGTTGCATAACTGTTGTTGTCCAGCGGAATGACGTCAAATCTATAAAATTACTTTTTATGGACTTTGTAAATACTGTATCTAGTATTGGAATGTAGTGTGTGTCGTAGCGTCAGCGAGTGTACGAACAGTCATAACTTTTTATTGTCAGAGAATTTTAAAACGCGCGTGCTCCCATTTTAAAGTTGCGGCTCTTTAAACTGAGCCATCATAAAATCAGTTTGATAATATCTATAACCCAACTCATCACCGTTTGAATCAAACTACTTTGAGAAAAAAGAAAAGAAAGGATTTTAGAGAATTAACTCAAGTATTATGAAATTTTAATCTAGAAGCTACAAAAATTTTTAAATGAAACGTTATTATTAATTCAAACAATTTTTTTATTTTTTGTTATCGAATAACATACTAGGAATACATTAAGTGTTTTACATGTTGATATTTATAATAATAAATACAATACTGCATAATAAATAATTTTGTTATACATATTTTAAAAATAATCCTTTTCATAAACAATGTTAATAAGAAATAATTGATTATTAGACAAAGAAAAATTAAAAAAAATTGAATATTGCCGAAACCCGGGATTGAACCGGGGACATTTAGATCTTCAGTCTAACGCTCTCCCAACTGAGCTATTTCGGCGGACTTTTTTCGTAATTTATACATGATTTTCAGGTAAGGTTATGCAATAATTTGCTCAAATGCAATGTTATAACAAATGCTTTTAAACGTGTAATTTTTGCAACTTTAAAACGTTAAAATATTATTTCTACAGAATATCATATTTCTATATGCGCGCGGAATTCAAATGACAACTTAAGTAAAATTAGTACGTACTCGAACTACAAATTATCTAATTTTGATACTTATTATTTTTCCATCACTATACCATTGTAAATACATACATCTAAGATTCGAAATTCCAATTTCATATCATTTATCAACATACAAAAAAAAAGAATCGTAAATTTTCTATTTAATAGTTATTCTTTTTTGTATTATTAGTACTATCATTATTTTTTTATTTTCATAGATAATATCTAATTTTTTTATATTTAAAATCAATTTTTGTAAAACGATATCAATGTTCATATAAATAAGCTAGAAAATTTATTTGTAGTATATTTCGTAATTATTATTTAAATTTGTGACATACAAACTTCAAAAAAAATTCAGAACACATCTTTGTTTTTATATATATTTTTTTATATTAGTCCTAATCGTTATCACTGGACTAATTAGGCTTAAAAAGCGCAACAATAACAATAGACTTCAATAAGAGTTTTGTTTGTTATTTTATTAATACTGTTAACATTTTGAATAATTAAATAATCCGTAGTTACATATAATAAATTCAAAAATTATTAGATACGTACGGGGGTCTATATTAATATTATTGACATAAGATTTGATTATAATATAATTTTTATATATATATATATATATATATATATATATATATGCGATTTATGACATCAAATACCAGCTGCAGATAAATACTGTAAGGCTAATGTTATCTATGGGTGATCGACTGATCGATGCAGGATGCATGCGGAGCAGGACGCAGGTTTATTTGTTTAGTTTAGGTTGCTTCAATAGCGCGGCACGCCGTTCGCATTATTATGTACATATCAGAATCAACAAAAGTCTCAACTTTCTAAACAATTTCAAGTCAATGGTTAACAGACAACGATAAATGCTGAACAGTTGAACTCAACCAATGCGGTGTTAGCAGCTCCGTTTTTAGTCTACCCGTCCAGCTCAGCCAGGCTCATATTAGTTTTAAAGCATTTGTAAATTGTATTTAGTAGTTAAACGTTAATCTTTTATTTGTTCATGTATTTGTTTGAGCCGATTCTTCTAAAAAAGCGTTGAAGATTGGAATTCGCTTCTTTGGACTTGTTTTCAAATGTTCAAAGCGTGATTAAACGAAACAAGCAAAATGTCGAGTATGAGGCAAACACCGTTAACCTGCAGCGGACACACTCGGCCTGTTGTACATCTTCATTTTTCTGATATTACGGATTCTGGTTACTATTTAATTTCTGCTTGTAAAGGTAAAACATCATTGATTTATATATTTATAACTCTATACTTTCCAAGTTAGAAAGTAGATTTTTGTATATTTTGAGGTTAGTTTGACTCATGATTTTAAATGAATATAATTATAAAAGTACATATTTCATAACAAAAATTTATACAAAAATGATATTAATTGTATACTTTACTGCATACCATTGACATTTATTAATAAAAATTAATTCAATTGAAGATTTTTGATTATTTTAATATTTAATTTTGATCAGTATTATCACATCAGTTTTCAAGTGTTTTAGAGCTTAGTATATTTCTTTTATACAAATAGACCAATGATTATTTGTATATCGATTATATAACTTTTTATTAATATTACCTGATAAAAAATCTATAATTTTACACATAGCTTGTATTCCAAAAAAATATATATCCAAAGTATATATTCTGTTGAATATAAAAAGTTTTCATAAATGTTACAAGAAGTATATGTAAAAGCTTATAAGGAAACTAAATTGTTTGAATAAATATTTATTTTATATAATATGATAAGAATGAAAATTAAAAAGAAAGTGTAGCTGACCTTTTCTGACTAGATATGAATTTTACGTCTTTTTATTAAAAACTTTTATTTGTTTATATTTTTATTTCAAGAAATACATATTTTTAAAACCTGAAATATACTAATAATTGAAATCTGTAATATATATTTATCAGAAGCTAAATGATAATATATCACTTCTGTTTATATAATTTAGAAAAAAGTAATTTATACAATTATTCTTTAAAGAATCAGCTTACTTTTAGTTGTATCTATATTTTATATATAAATGTTCAGCCTTTTGTTCTATAGATACTAGTTTCTATAGGTTTCTGGTCATTATTTATTATTAAACAAAATACTGCAAATATATAATAAGTTGTATTATTATCATTTCATTGTAACAGGCAACGTATTCTTAAAAAAGTAACCTTAAAAGATATTTTTTATAAATACTTTTCATTTAATTATCTGACAGGAGATTATATCAAAACAAAATGATGTGAAGCATCAACGTCAATAGAAAAGGCATTTCGATTTTAGCTTTGATAAAAGTGTTTTTAAACAATAAAAAATTTATTTTGTTTTTGTATATAAAGTACACATATTTATATACTATGTAGTACATATATTTAGTATATACATATATATCTTTTTGTACATATATTGAATAATATTTCTGTTTAAAATAAGTTACTAATCATTTTATTATTCTTCATATCAAATTTTTTTATAATAAAAGCAGACAATTGAATGACTAATAATAGTTATTAACTTATAATTTTATTTTTAGATGGTAAACCTATGTTACGACAGGGTGATACGGGAGACTGGATTGGAACATTTGAAGGCCACAAAGGAGCTGTTTGGGGTGTTGCATTGAACCCTCAGGCTACTAAAGCAGCAAGTGGAGCTGCTGATTTTAATGCTAAAGTATGGAATGCTATTACTGGAGATGAAGTTCATTCATTCCAGCACAAGCATATAGTCAAAGCTGTTGACTTTAGCAGAGACTCTGTGTATTTAGCGACAGCTTCCAATGAAAAGCTTGTTCGAATTTTTGATTTGAATAAACCAGATGCTGATCCACAGGTAATTTGTGATTCAAAACTATTTTCAAAAAAATAACTTGTTATAGAGTTTCATTATACACTAGAAATGTACATTTGTATTTTTCAGTTTATTGAAATAAAACGTAAGCAAAAATATATAAAACATTATTATTGTTTATTTTAGGTACTTTCTGGACACACCAATAGTATAAGACACGTTACGCTTTTCAATGACGATACACAACTCATTACTTGCGCCGAAGATAAGACATTGAGAGTTTGGGACAAGAAGAGCGGCGAGGAAGTTCGAAAACTCGATTTTCCAGCTATTCCAAGATCTATGGAGCTCTCGAGAGACGGGGCGATTCTTACGACGACTCATGCTAATATTGTAACATTTTGGGATAGCAAGGAGTAAGTGTTTTAAAAATCATAATTGCTTTTAAATCATGGCATCAGATACTTTACAAATTTTACAATATTTTTAATTTTTGAATTTCAATGTATAAATTCTTATAAAACCTTATTTTCATATTCATTAAATATATTTCAATTAATTTTTTCTATAATGCTTTTTTTTTATTTGTGGTTCATATAGAACGCAAATATGAATAATTGATGAAGTTTACAAGTTTAAATATACGTTATTAGGTGCAATTTTCACATCAAACTTATCATTAATTCGTCCTTTATAACTGAAGGAGTTAGTTTTCTACCTCGCGTAAAAGATGTATTATTAACAAGAAAGTCACGATCAAATAACCTTATAAAATATTTTTTTCAACGTCAAATAAATCAAATTTTGTACAATTTGCGTTTTTTTAAATTAATCTTACTGTATTAAAAAAATACTCTTTGTCATGCTACCTGATGAGGGATAAAATCAACAGTATAATTATCACGTATTATCTTTATCTTATACTCACCTTTCCCCTCACTTACTTGTATTTTTCTATTTTTAGGCTGACTAAGATACGTGAGATCACAGTACCGACTCAAGTCAACAGCGCGAGCTTACATCCTGATAATAGTATCTTCGTATGTGGAGGAGAAGACTTTAAAATGTATAAGTTCGACTATATCACGGGTAATGAAATTGGTAAGTTAAATATTTTGTTACTCTTGTATTAAGATAATTATGAGATTTTCCAGCAAAGTATGACATTATTTAAATATTAGACTGATTGTAAAACTCGTATTACGGTAAATTCCATTACAAATGTCTTAGAAATTTACAATTCATAACGGATCAAACTGAAATGAAAAAAATATTAAATTAATAATTTAATCTAAATTCAATTATTTGTGATTTAGAATTTTGAACAATCTTACATTATCGGTATCCATTCGATGTTGTACTGTTTGAAACGTGTTATTAGTATTTAAAAATCTTTTTATGAATAATTAAGAATATTTTCTTTTTAAAACATCTCTTCATTTTCCAGAGTCATTCAAAGGCCACTTTGGTCCTATTCATTGTGTACGATTTTCACCCGACGGTGAACTATATGCTAGCGGTTCGGAAGATGGAACATTGAGATTGTGGCAAACAACTGTTGGGAAAACTTATGGATTGTGGCGTTGCATCGAGCATCCACCTGCAATTCCAGAAAATGCCGCATTGGTCAACAGCAAGCCAGAAGTTATTGCCAATTAAAAATAGGTGGTCTAAATATGCTCAAAAGATTCCTATATTTTTTATTGAAAAAAATTTTTTAATATAGGATCTTGAATCCATGCATAAGTTCAGACTGATCAATAAAAAAATGTTTTTTCTTGAAAAAATTGATAGTATTTTACTGATAGATCGAATGTCTCAATGCAGAATTACTTGTAAATAAAATATGGAAAGCTTCTTCAAGAGCTGAAAAATGACAATGAATGTGTTTTTTATATTAATTTAAAGCAAGTAGTAAATTATTTGAGGTATGTGATAAAAATATCTTTTATTTATTTGTAATACGCTAGACCAACCATTAAAAATAAACATTAACATTTATTAAAGTTATACATGCCATATTTTATCATACAAAAAATATGTATAAAGCTTGAAATTATAATACAATGTAAAAAAGTTCAGATGACGCATTTTTTTATTCAAATAATGTAACTGACGTTCAAACAAATATCTTCGAATAATTGATTTGAAAGTGTACTCCTTCCTTTGACTGATTTAAAAAAAACAGCTATCGTTTCATTGGTTTTTAAAACTAGTATCATAATATTAGCTTACAAAACAGTGTTAGTTCTGTATTTCTTACTGTGTAGATATGTTGATTCAATTGACTGCCTAGTACAATTCATACGTCTCTGTAATCCACAAAGATCAAGTTCTCACGATACATGTAAACTTTAAATTGATAAATCACTTACAATAATTACAAAGAATCACAAAAGAGCACGAGACGTTGATTTTTAAAGCTATCTTTTGCGTTTACGTAGAAAATACAAAAAATAATAATAAGAAACTCCATGTTAAATAGTAAGGTTCTGCAATCTACACTTTATATTTACATTAACTGCAACATTGAATTTTCATTACATACAATGAGTATTCGTTCAACAGCAAAATCAATGAACACCGTATGTAATGACACGACATTTTGATGTTGAATATAATATTGTTTGATGTTGGCACTGCCTAATTATTCTCTATTGGCACATGTGTCGAATGAAACAAATTGAGGATAATTAAATTGTTCAACCGATGAATTGCGAGAGGTCAGGTAGCTTGAAGCCATTAAACGAGGATGATGAGAACGGCGATCGCAAACTTCGCTGCTGATTGAAACCACCGAAATTGTTGTTGAACTGGTTGAAGTTGAGCGAGCTGTCGGTTGCCGCAAGCACAAATCCACACTGAGCGGTACATACGTCGTCACGTAAAATCGCTTCGCGCGATGCTTCACGCAAAAGTTGGTTGCAGTCTGTTATTCTCAAAGATGCGCAGTGTGTCTGTAAAATAATAAATAATAGGGTTAATTTTTTCGCGTTTATTCAAATGTAGTTTACCTACTTCACTAAGATATATTAGGTTCTTTCTACCAGTACTGAAGAAATAAAATTAAAAGCTAAACTTACGCCCTCATTAGTGCAGACGCAGCTCGTACAGGGTGTAGGGAAGCCAGAATCTCCAACAGCAACATGTCTATCACCAATTTGACATCCATGCCGAGTTTCACGCCATGCTTCAAAGTTCATATGTGGCATGGAACCACAAGGCACACGAGGATTTAGGAAGTTCGAGGGCAGATCAAAAGCAGCTCGCTGCATTTCAGCGTGATTATCCATGTTTTCACACAATACTTTGGACAAGGTAGTCTTACGAATTTCAGCGAGCTGCTGCTCACTGAATCTGATGTTCGGGTCGTCAGTCTCGTACCAGAAACGATCGCATTTTCGCGCTTGTCTGAATTGAATGGCAATGATACATGCGAACGTTGGTCCTACCAAACCACCCTGCAGTGGTCTTTCACTCATACCACCTGTAACAATTAGGAAAATATTTTTTTTCTCAAAACAAATAGTAAAATTATTTGTGTCATCTATGCAATAATTCACCGACCAGGGAACAGATCAATATCGTCAACGTGAGCATAGACCCTCCTAAGTCTGGTAATGACTTCAGGTGCCATTTCTCTCGACAGATCTTCGAAGCTTGTAGCCCTCTTCAAATTACAAAGAGCTCTGTAAGCGTTGTAGCCTTGCAAACCATGATCCCTCGATCTTTGAATATTTAAGGCAATGAGATCCACACCCGAATGGGGAATACCCTTCTGCTCGAACAAGTGATTCGTAACTTCACCGGTGATAAACTGATCAAGCGTCTCCATGGGAGTGGATACCAAACCGCGAGTCATCTCGTCGATCATGTCGTCTTGGAAGAGCATGTCAGGATTGAAGAAACCGTCGCGCAGCAAGATTGGAGGATCAACATTCTGATAGTGGCGATTCATACGTGGCAAATGTGGCCTCAACAACGAGTGCCCAATACGGAAAGCCGCTGTGGCGAACTCGTTAAGACAACTTGGATTACAAGTAGGCGCGTATTCTTTGTAATAACCCTGAGGCAGCAGTTTCAAACCGTAAAGACTTATAGCGTTCCAACCGAGAATACGTGGTAGAAACTCGTTATAGACGATGTGCTGCAGCATACCACTGATAATTCTTCTAGTTTCCTGGCGAATAAAATTAATCAATTGGAATTACCAACCCATTTGTATTTTTGTTACTGAAAATTATCGAAGAAAGAAAAGTCTTACTTGAAACAATTTTTCAGCATCCCAGTGAGGATTGACTGCTCTGAGACCCTCCATTATTCTGTTATGTTCTCTAACCCACATAGTATGCATGACAGTCAAACCAGGTTGTTCGGAAGCACGACCATCACCACCGATAAAGCACTGACCCGAAGGGGCTTTACACTCAGGATGAGTGGCAGACATTGGTAACATGTCTTTACGACCCAGATGTGAACGAGCGGTGATATTCATGCGACCATTAAAACCTCTGAGTACATCGGCAATACACCTGTTTTCTCCGTAGATGACGGACGCGTCGAGAAAACCGGTATTTTGATTGATCTGGTCACGTGGTCCAAGATGCTGTTGTCCCGGTAGAGATCTCATCGATGGGATACATAGACGTTGGCCAGTGGACGCATTAAGAGTCGGGTAATAGTGGTCGCTGTCTGGCACGGGGAAGGGATTACACTCTGGATGTACCGTACGACTGGAATCACACGAACGACAGCTAGGGATGGACTCCGCGAAACCCTTGTGAATGGGTGTCATGGTTAAGTCGTGATCAAGAAACTGGGCGAATTGCATAACCATTAAGGTATAACGGTTATGAAGATTTGAGATGTCAGGATGAATGGTCGTTGAGATGGTACGTGGGTTTGGCAGAAGATTACCAGTCACGCCGGTGATTTTGGGTTGAGACACTCCATCTTCGTAAACGGGCGGTAAGAGACGAGCAAATGTCGTGAGAGATTTTGCAAGATTAGGATTGCGAAGGTTATTGCAATGACCCGAGAAAGTACGGTACGGTGTAGTTGGGTCACAAGCGTGGTCATCGACTGGACAATCTATTTCTTCGTGGTTGGTGGGTTTCTTACGAGATATGAAGTTTGAGACATCAACGTTCTGTAGAACGTCGTTGAACTCGTTGGCGGGGAAGCCGAGAACGTTGTCGCCTGAGTCGAAAGCTTGCCTCTTTCTTCTTTTCAGACCATGAATTCCGTTGACCAATTCATTGGTTGCCAATTCATAGAGAATTGATGAGTTTGCAAGTGAAAGAGCATCCTTGTTGGCCTTCGAGAAACTAGCTGCGGTACCGAGTGGAGACTTCGGATCGGCAGTTTGCTGTTCCAACCAGGAATTGTACTCTAGCTGTTTACGCATGAGCAGATCCTGTTCAGCCTTCTTCACTGCATCCTTAATCATATCTTCGTTGATTTCCGATAGTAAGGATGAAGCAGTATTGGATAATCCAGGAGTCATCTCCATATGATTGTCCGTCACAGCAACTGGAATGGATTCTTCTCTCCAGGCTGACAAGTCGAGTAATCCATGCCGATTGCAATCAATTTTAGCATTTAAGTAAGGATCTTGCTGAATGAAAGCCTTAGGCTGAATCTTGGCTATGTCAGCATTGGCACAAAGAATTCCGGATAAAGAAACCTTACGGATCTCGGTAAGCTGCTCTGGTTTCAAACTTGATGGTGGAATATCATTCTCGTACCAAAATCGGTCCGAGTTACGAAGCTTTATCAACTGTTCACGTAGTAAACAAGCGAAAGTTGGTCCTACAGCTGCACCTTCAGTTGGAATTTCCAGCATACCACCAATGATTAAGTCTACATCTTCCACGCGCAAATAGATATTCTGAAGCAGAACTACATCGTTTACCTTCATGATATGTGCGAGGCTTGTGAAGTTTTCAACCTGTTTAATCGAGACAATATATGAGTATAAACAGCATCGATCACATTTTATTTCCATTATCTTTAATATTCATTGTACCTTGACACGTCCACGTGAGCAGTAATCAACGAACTGAACGTAACTGGGTAAACCATGATCTCTAGCTTCATGAACAAGGAGAGCACTGGGAGACCAGCCTTGAACATTATCATCCTGGTCGGCGACATCGAGGCTCACGCGTTTAGCCGCAAGAATAACCTGTTCCTCGAGAGCCGAACTCTCTTCGCGTTTGAGAGAAGTGAGTATCTGCAGAGCAGTTAAAGCTACGGCATCGATTGCGCCACCGCGATTGGTCGACGAATAACCCGAGTAGAAGCCACTGCTCGTCGGTGTCAATTCACTGTCCGTGAAAGCTGTCTCGCCTAGCACGCTTGGGGCGAACTCGCTTAGAGTCACATGTTGGATCTGTGGATTATATATGTTACGTGTTAAATGTTGTACGTAACTTCAGGAAGATGCGATGAAGGAGTTATATATTAACCTGAGCGACAACAGCACGACGGGCCTCCAAAAAGAGTTTTGTGTCGCTCCAATGCTCATTGATTTCAGACAAGTTGTCAGCGATTCTATTGTGCTCATGGAGTAAAGCCAGATACACGTGACCTATACTAGAGTTAACACGATTGCAAAGCTCGCACTGTGAAATGTTGACTTTGCCTCTGAAATAAGTCCTGAGTTTGTGAAATTTATCGTCATTGTTTCCATAAAGATCTGATCCGTCGAGATAACCAGAAGCACCGTTCATCTGCTCTCGAGTCTCAAAGTGGCAGCTGTGGCTGCTGAGCGTTGGTGTTGTACGCATATAATCCAGGCATCGACCTTCTTCATCCAAGCCGGGCATACATTCGGGATGGCGTACACTTGACTGGCAACAACTGTCACGATGACGTGGTCGGACGGGGCTAGAGATGTCACGAAGAATTAATTCGGACCAAACACCCGCAAGACTGCTTAGGCCCTCGTGAGCTGTGTCGTCGACTGGGCGATTTAACCGGATATTGTACACTGTTTCTACACTGTTGGGTAGAGCATGGTTGCTCGATGAGTGACGTGGGATCCTTATGCCTGCAATGAGTTATAAAATTGCTTAAAAATGATCAGCAATTTAATAGAATAAATTCTTTAAAACATTAGATGGTTGAATATTATAGTGCTATTTTTATATGTATGTGTGTAGATATATATCATGCAGCGTGAGGGCGGGTAAGACAGACTCTTAAAAATTAATTATATTGTACAAAAAAATCTATTGTTGTGAAAAACGAAATCATAGTAGTTATTGTGAGACTTTTAGTTCAGTTTTAGTTAAACAAAACAAAAATATTATTTGTTAGAGAATGAAAAGGGAAAGTGAACAAGTCTCATCAGCGAAGCACAGGTGACAACCAGTCCCCACACCTATGTCACATACGTAAAGGCACTATCCGCAGTGATGTCTGGCATATTAAAGAAGGTAATGAAAGCGACAGTACATTCAGCGGGAATTGGCCTGCGGGAGCGAGTTCAATGCCGTGATGCTTGATGATGAGTTTTAAGTGTCTCGATTCATTTTCGATTTACGTATGTTCTTATTTATGGCAGATTGTGTTCATAATATGCAAACACACTCTCATCGATGGTGCTAGTAATTTATTTTACACGAAAACACTTTGAAGCACATTATCCTGATTTCGAATAATAAGAATATTTTTTACTGTATTATATTACTGCGTAAAAATTTGATCTTGAAATTTTACTCAGAAAATAAACTTCATTACTCTCACAACAACACGTATGTCGATAAATTATATTCTTGTATTACTAGAGAAATTTCGACAACAACCTGATGATGTTTGCGATGTTTACGCTACTAGGACGAAACAATTTTTGCCGAGTTTTAATTTGCATCTCGATTCTTCAAACTTTCTAGCGAAACTTTCATGATATTTTTTTCTGCACCATATACGTAAGAACGATTTGGTCGTAATATTTTAATTGAATTATAAGCTAATTTGGTCAGGTGAAAAACAAGTTTCTCAATCTTGAACTACTATCGCGAGCTTTTTTATTTATTTTAATACAGTTCGACTTCAAATAAATAACAACTTTTACAATTTCATAAAGATGTATATGAGTCTGCAATAAGATTCCGTAAAATATGAAAGGAACTGCTGTATTGCATTCCACAAATGTTGGTGTAAATAAAATATTTGTCACATTAGAATTTTAATTCGATAAATTTTTGTTCAATTAACGATGGAAAGTTGCAGAAAAGACTGATTCGTGTAAAACACAACTAACAATGAAATAAACTTCTCTTATTTATATAGTATATTAAGATATTTTGCTCACAGAGGTCAAAAAAATATATTCGAGTTATCGAAGACGATAGGAGCAGCTAATTACCATCAGCTTGTATCATAAATTACGATATACATATAGCCATCAATTTTAGAATTTGGAAATTTTGCGACTATGAAAGTGCGAATTCGAAAAGTTGTCCCGGAAATGATGCCCAGTATGCAGACCTATACACCATTGAAAGTTACCGAATTAAATACACACCTCGAAAGCAGAGAACTTCACTTTAATTAAAGTCATATATACTTTTTTTGTGATCACACAACTAACAAGTTCTCGAACCTTCCACAACATTGCAAGGTAAAAATATAATTGTTTTTTTAACGGACTTTTGTATAATTCTAATAAATATTATTACGTCGATTTTGATTAATCACATGCAGAGACATTTTGTGTAATTTAATTTTTTCTTTTAAAGTTGTATGGTAACAGTTCTTCGAAAAATAACTTATTTTACTGTAATGAAAATCTGTTGAGAACTTATTGCGTGTACAAAAATAATATAGTACAGAAAATGTTAGGTACTTTTAAACATACATTAAAACTTAACTATTGATTATCCAAAAAGTGATTAGTCAAAAAAAAAATTGTATAAAGAAATCTAGTACGAAAACTAGACCAAACAATCCTCATCTGGTGATTTTTTTCGCACGCGCGCGTAAAAAGTGAATGTGAGGCCACTTGAAATTTGAGGTCGCCTTACGTGTTTATTTAAAAAAAGAAAAGGTCGGGAGACGAGCTGGTTCATGTCACTTTCTTCGTATAAGCTTTCTTATTTTTTCGAGCCTCGATTTTACTGGCGCCCCCCCCCCCCTCCCCTTCTGCCTCACTCTCTCTCTCTCTCTTTCTCACTCTCTCGTACATCAGTTCATATAGACTTTTTTTCTTTGTCCGTGACTGACCGAAATTCCTACGATTCGTTTTCTTAGTTTATTTATATAGTGGAATCTTAAACGTGCGTGGCCTCGTTTTGTTCCTCGTTCGCTTATGTTATTGACGACTTGTGGTTTTCAAATTGTAATTATCATGCCGGATTTTTTAATCCAATAAAACTGACAATCAAAGATTTAATTTTAGGATTGATAGTTTTCTTGTAGCATATCAATCTGATACTAGTCTCGATGGAATTCCCATAAAAAAAATTTACACGTTATTAAATGTCTATTTAAAATATAATTTACATCACGTAATTTAAATAATCGATATAAGTTTGAATATTAGATTAATACCATAAGAAAGTTTTGCGCATTTGCAGGAAGACGCAATACGTAAGTATTCACATTGAAATTTGTCGTTCTGTGTTTGTTTTCGTTGTTACATAATATATAAACGGCAAATAAGTTACGTAATTCATTCTTCTGAATGAATCCTGAAAGGTCTTAAGGATTTAAGATGTTCCCTTCTATCCAACGTGTTTCATTACATAATGTTTAGAATTGATTATTTTACGTGCAATTTCGTAAGAATTGTGTAACGGATTAAGCCAGGTCATTTACACCTACACTTAAACCCATCTTCACACACTCGCGCACATACGTAGCAGCAACCAAAAATTTGCAGGTACTTCATTTGATATACAAATTGAATAACATTCAACTCATGTAAACATTCGCAACATAAAAGCACGATATACACATCTACTTTCTTTTATAAATTTTCATTTGCAATTTATTCTATAATCTCGAAATAATAATTTTAAAAAATTGCGAAGTAATACAGCGCAAAACTCGAGGCAAAACTGGATTAAATCATTGATTTTCTCGAGAATCCAGTAAAACCAGCGTTAGCTACTTGTTAGAATCACATGATTAATTGTAGCGGTACGAGGCTTTCGAAAAATTGGATCACGTGGAAAGAATTATCAGGAAGTTCGAGAATCACGTATATAAATCACCATTGCAACCATAGGCAAAATGATGTTGCGTAGTGCAAGCACGGCGCGTTAATCGTCGATTTTCACTTTCCACTCGTGCCACGCGTTGTGCGCACCAAGAGATCATCTCTGCCATAGGGCTTAAGATCGATTTTTTCGGGCCTCATGCGGCTAGTAGGTGCATTGCAAAATGCTTATGCAAGCGATAACTATCGAGGCGGCTTTTGCGCCGATGCACCGCGCACGAAAACTTTACACTCTAATTTCGAGCTACAACCGCACGTTCGTTACCGTATACAGTCACGAGGTGCATGCGAGCGTTGCGAATTCTTCGTTTCTTCGCTCTTTGAAGATTGAAGTCTACGATTCCACAATAAGTAGATCATGCAAAAGGTAACTCGAGATGCAAAAGAACCGATTTCAGTCTGTTCGATGTAAAGTCATTTCGAAAAATCTGATTAGACTTTTACTTTGTAACTCAACTGAAACTAAAAGCGCGCAAGGAGCATACGTGTTTATACGGCCTATTTCGCTAGTTAAATAGCTTCATTTTCCAATTCACCAACGCGGAAATTACGACGTAGCTAATATGTGTTTACTGAAAAAACAATGATTTACGAAGATAAGAACGTAGCTTTTTCTTCTCTTCGTGAATAAACGACGTACGTCTTTTTCTGATGAAATAATAAGTCGAAAGTTTAAAGCGCCATAATTGGCTTTTTAAGGAGAGTCAGAGTTTATGCCAGTGATAACAACTATGCATTTTCTAAAGATATCTATCGGAAAACTAATGATGTTGGAAATTCAATTATATAAATTCAATAAGGTGATTTTTTACGCGAGAAATTTTAGAAAATCATCTAACTTTCGAGCGAAGCCACGTATTCGAGTTACCTGCAAGATTACAGTAGTGCAATGGACTATACTCTCGAACAGATCGGATTTTCCCCATTGAGACATTAAAAGCCAATGAAAAAAAGTCGATCAAACTTACCATCGACATAGGCAGGCTTCACAAGCCTAAGGTAAGGTGAACCACGAGCGCCCCAGGCTGGATGTCTGACATTGTTGCAAGCCCCGGAAGGCGTGCGGTACTTGCTTGGCGGACAAGGCCGTTCCTGTCTCACGCGGCATGGCTCCTGCTGCTGCTGACTGCAAAAAAGTGAAAATCGAACGTCATTTAACGAAAAAAGAAGATTGGAAAACCGGATCGATGACGTGCTTTCTTCCGGGACTCCTCTCTCCTTTCTCCGCTTGATTTTTTTTTCAGTAAGCACGTCTCGATGGGATTATTGTTGTTTATTATCTCGGCTGTTTTACGTCGAATTTATTTATTTATTTATTTATGCTTGTACTATGGAAAATTATTTATAAATACACGATCGCAGACATTTTTTTTTGCTAATTGAGAAAGTAATCGTATTTTTCAATCGAGTGAAGAGCTAGAATTGGTCGTTACATTTCGACGAGCTGGGAGCTCTGCCTTTCCGTCTTATTTATCACTGTTGGTTTTTTTTGTAAAAGCTGTGCTGTCGTTACCTCACGGGTAATATACTTTTTGTTCAGCAAGGGAGGCGTTGACCTCATTCCTATTATGCATCGTTATTGTATGTGTGTATTTAAAAAGTCACTACCAAAAGTTATTTATTTTAAATGTTGTTAGCTATTTTTTTTGTTCTATTGAATCAATGCCATAAAATTATTAATTTAATGATACGTTGAACAATTGGACAATTTATAGATATTGTACAGTAATATTCGATAGCTATAGGAATAGATTTCCGTAGCTAATTAATAAAATCGAAAAATTTTATAAATCTTTCACGTTTCATATAATTACAAGTGAAGTTACTAACACCGATTATTTGTATGCGTATATAATTAAAATCAAATTAGATAAGAAGGAATTCAGACAATTTGAAAATTTTTATGCATATCATAGAGTTCATATTTCTAGAAAGTCATAAGTTATGCTGGCGCTTAGATTATAGGTTTTTTAGTACGCATTACGCGTTTTTCGTTAGCATAACAGCGAAAGAAAAAAATAAAAAAATCGTTGGCGTGAAAATAGATTAATGGTAGTTCTACAATAAATTTTGGTCTTAATTATATTCCGAGACAAATAAGCGACGTCAGCATTTTTCCGCGTAATTTTTAATAACGATTCCATCTATGCCACTAAAGCTCGGTTACTTCCTCGTTTCTCGGACTTTTCTGTGTGACCGCACTGCACTTTCCAACGCAACGAATCCTTTTTATATATGCAAGGAAATTACCCAAACGTCGCGTCGTACCGAATTATTTTTCCAGTGACTTATTTGGCACGACATTAATTTCTTTTTGAGTACATATTTTGCGCAATATACTCGTTGGAATTCAGAAAGTAGTAAATATTTTTTTATATACACGTTGCTTATCATTAGCCGCAGTTTGACTATTGTACAATAAGCTCAAATTACCAAAAAATAAAAATGTTTGGCATACGTGAAGATGGTTTCACGTTGACTCAATCACTATCATCGAATTGATAGCTATTATATGCTAAAATTGTGCAGCTTAGCTTATGCATTATGACAAAAGGAGTGGAAATATTATGTAGACAAAAAAAGTAAGACATCAAATCTAGTTGGTCTTGTAAATTGCCAAGTCGCACACGTGACGTAGGGTATGCGAGCGTAAAAATCTTACGCGGTGTGCGTCAACTTCTCTCGATCGACTCTCGCTCTCTACTCGACTTTTACTTTCATGGCCGAGCTTCGAGACGGCAGCTATGTCTCGTGGTCGTGGAGTGTAATTGTCGCACTGGATTTCTTTCGTCGGTCCGCACAGAAAAGCCCAAATGTCACTACGTGCGTATTGCCACGAGTTGAGCTTCTTGTTTCGAGCCCCGTCCTATGATAGTCATTAATATTTTCTTCTTAGTCATGGTATGTTTGTAACCGATTTTCGGTGTATTTTTATTCACTGAATAACTTTAATTAATTGATCCTTACTTCATGTGAAGTATAAAAATTAAATAATACGAGCTTTAAAAAATCAATTCATCTTTATTTAAAAGGAAAAGGATTTATCTGAAAAATAAATAAAATCAACTGGAATGAAATTTCATACTGAGTTCACCAATTGTAGATTTTTAATTAGACGTTTATTCATAATTGAACCAGGACACGAGTTTATAATTGCGCGTTGTGGACAAGTGCCTCTTTCGCGATGACAGATCGAGCTATTAATAAACGAAAACGAGACGAGCTACAAAAGGCACGGCTTTCTTTGGCGCGAACGCGTAACTACAGCTTCCTGCCACAGCGCCGGTGAGGCAGTTAGCCTGGAACCTTTGCTTAGCGCCCGAGAAATGATGACGATAGTGGCTAATGACGGTGTGACTTTTTTTCCTCTTCTGGTCGGCACCGCAGCACCTACCTTACGTCAGAATATCCTCGTTGAAAATTTTAATGGAGCAAAAGTTCTTATCTCGGGAACCATTGTCTTATAGACAGACATGCTGTGTTGCACAAAACCTGTGTCTTGTGATCTCTGTGGCTTAGAGTCATACAATTTGGTCTCTGTATATCCGGCAGAATGTACTTTCCGTGAAGTTTCATTACGATTACCAAGTAAATTGTGTTTGAAGTGAAAGTCTATGAGTTTTTTTTGATAGTTATTTTCTACTTGGTCTGGACGTGTTAAATTTCACTGAAATTAAAAGTGCTCTCTATTTATAGTTATACCCTTTGTATCAAAAATTCTTATCAATTTATTTTACACAAGAGAGTCAATTCTTATTTAGATCAGAATAGATGGTTCTCTTTTTGTTAATTTTAACTATGTAGGCCTAATTAAGCGTGTGATATTTTCCTTAACTACAGTATGCGGTTTAAGTCAAATGAGCTGACTAGTTTGGTTTAATTGCTGAAAAAGTTGAAAATTAGAGTCTTAACTTACTGGTGAGGTACTTGAAGCGTGAAACGTTCTGCTTCGATAGCGGCACGAGCACGAGCTTGTAAGTCATAGTCTACTCCATAAACGTAATCTGTAAATGCACGACAGTCGTTATTTTGTATTGTTCAAAATGTGCCATTCAATGATTCTTATCATGTTTGTTTCTGTTTTGTAAACAATAAAAGTTTAATGTGAATCAAATAAAAACCAACTGGCAAGACTAACGACTTTGACTATCAATTAGGAAAAAATGTTAAATGCAAAGTGGTTATTAGATGGTCTTACACGCAAAACGTTGTAAAAGGTTCATTATAAATTTATGAAATCGAGATTAAAACAAAAGTGACTGTACTGAAACGAGCAAGCGTGAAATTATACGCTACTGTGAGCAGACTTGCTTCTCCTGTAGAAACCTAAAAGTATCATTCATGTGAAATTTTAACCTACTCACAGTGGTACATAAAATTACACGCCTACATGTGATTGAAAATTTAATTATATAAATAAATTTATTGTTTTAGATGAGGAACGTCGAACAATTATCAAATCAAATTATGGTAAAACTTTTTTAAATTTACCTTTATGATTATTCACAGATATTTGACTAAATGATTAGTAAATAAAGCAAGTCATTAAGATTTCCATTATAGTTATTGTCGATCTTACCTGCAATGTCAAATGGCTTATTGATTGCAGAAACAGCTGCTGCCGTAAAAACCAGGGAGAGAAGTACCAAATTGGTCCTGTAAAATAAAAACAAAATTCATTAATAACATTATTTTTAGATAGTACGTAACTGTTGTTTAAGTGTAAATATACGCGATGTAAATCTATATAAGGGTTTACTTAAAAGCTTGCGTTTAATATTAGAATTATAACTTGAGTGAACAATTTGAAATAGAAAAATAATTACATAGCACTCTTTCAAGGCATTAGAGTACACATTCAAGTACATGATATGTAAATAAACAATAAGTCAGCCAATCTCGCACAAAGAGCAAAAAAGACGCTCGACTTTATATACACCGAAAGAAATTCACCTATCACCTTAGCACACGTTTGTGCGCGTTTCTAACCGCAACTTTCGCTAACGAACAGCGAAACTGGAAATGCTAAAATCTAGCCTCGGACTAAGAATGGCCAAGTCCATGGTCCTCAAATGCCCCAGGCTGATTTCTTTTAGTTCAAAGTGTGTAGCTAAATATCGAACTCGAGCTCGTTTCTCTACCTTTCACTAACGTCTAAAAATCTTTCATTGCACCGAGAACTTTTTGAAAAGTTGCGTTTGTTTTATAAGCAAAACTTATCAATATTGAAATTTTATTATTAAACTTCAATTGAAAGTAATATTTTGTATTTTGTTTATTTATTTACAAGAAAATAGGATGACAAGCACTATTTATTACAACGGTAGCTTCGCGCGGTGCTATATTGAAACTACACTTATTGCAATGATCGCTTTCTAACTTATAATTCAACTGAAGGATACGTCAGAAGTTGGAATCTTTACTTGACTATTTTCCATAACAATCGCCAGAAAATGGCAAAAAAAGAAACGCTGTTTAAAAGTCACGACGAAAGTTATTCATCAGGCACACACTGGCGAGTACAAAAGCTTCGCGCAGCTCTCTACTCATGTCTCGTCGTTGTAAATAGCTGCGCTAAGAATGATGCCGCGAAAGATTATTATCATTGATCTTGAGACACCGTACAATCTAAGTTCGCGGGTGTCGAGTGTCCGCTCACGAAAATTACAGCTTATTAAAAAATTAAGTAGTACTATCGTGACGTGGACTTTTAAATACCATTCAATGATGTGCCATGTCCTGTTTGAATGCCCTAGATGCAAGAAGGAAATAAAGCAATTGTTAGGGTGGCTAACGGATAGTCAGTGTTCTTCTGTTTGAATAAGTAACGGACCGACATACATTTGTGGAATAATTGTTGAATTTCGCATGATTACGCACAATCGAAATCTATTTATTAAATCAAGAAAAATGTTTTGGCTTTTAAACTATTTCCGGACTAAACCGACGCAGCCAGCGATAAATATTCCTAAAATCGAAAAAATCGTGATCGCATAAACCACGCGATATTTTCCATCATAGCCACCGGACGCCAAAGAATGTCGTATAGCCGGCATTTGGCATTTTCCACATATATGTATATGTATAAGATTCACCTGTGCTCAGCGCTCACTCGCTCTCTCGCCAGCCGATAATTCAGTGTCAGTAGGTCATAGCGCGCGGGAGAAATCTTTTACCACACATCTGTAAAGTCATGGACTGTTCCTCGAGGCTCTTTTTTCACGCGCGAGGACCGTTCTTTTTTCCTTATTTTACGCCAAATGGACCACTAAATTATCGTCTTTCTTCGAGCTTACTTGCTTTATTGCTAGATCTATCACCTGCCACGCGAAAGTGTCGTGTGGTGTCGAAGTAACGTTTTAAAATATGTAGTAACGTTTATTCTTGGAATGGGTGAGGAATTTCGACGACTTGGATTTATCAGTAGTTAGTCGATCGTTATACAATTAACGCAGTTGCTATTCCTCGCAGTCATTGGAAAAGTTGAGAGTGAATTATTGGGTGCAATATACGCCACTGGACTGTTAAGAACTATGTCAACACGTGGAAATTTTCTTGTCATTTAGAATAGCATATAGAAAGATGTGTTTATTAGAAAACTAGATATTTTTTTCCAGGTTGGCTGTCGATAAGTACATTTATATGAGCTCAAAATTTGGTCTCGTTTGCATGTTCTTCGTATTATTTTGATAATTGAAAAATTATGATTTACGATAAAAACAACATAATAAACGATGAAACCAATCGTAATCAAAAACTAATTTTAAACTTCCATTTGCTCGTTATCTTTTGTTACTGTTCTGAAAAACTTTTGTATCAATTGAAACTCATAAAAACTTGCTTCCTACGCACTTGCATAATATAAATTTGTTAGTTTTTAATTTTCTCTTAATTTTTCAACGTTTGTCAAAACATACAATGATTCGATGAGTGAGTTTCTTTCAATAAAAACAATAATACTTTTTATCAAACGCTAATTTCGAATGTCATAGTGTGCACGGAATCACAAAATAATAAAGCGCGCGTGCGAACGAATCATTGCCGTAGATTTTGCTACGGTTACACATGCAGCGAGCGAGACAGAGACGTAGAAACGACTTTTCCTAGAGCAAGAGAAGACGCGTTTTATCACCGAAAGAGAAAGGTGGGCGTGGAAAGGTCGCCGTCGTCGAGCCACTGTAACCACACTCTTGTAGGCGAAGGTCAATGAAACCTGGAATTCGTTTTCCCACCCGGAAGTTAATACTTGCGTGCTTATTGCACTTAGTTTTTTTGAAGCATAAAATGGTATGTGAACGATTTAAACAAACCTTTGTTCTCACTCATCAAATATTTCATTTCCACAACAATGAAATATTTGATTTTTGTATTATCTAATTAAATACAGTATTGATCTTGAGACTCGTGATAAAAAAACTGCTACTTCTATGCTATTGCAACTGCATTGTGTCATTTACAGTGTGATCATAAATAGAGTTGACGCGTGGAACTATAAATTTTACAAACGAGATTGCATTCTTTGTATGCCTCCACGTAATCGTAATGAATGGTTACGTTGATGCGCTCACATATATCATAATATGATTAAAAAAAAAGAAAACATTGTATAGCGTAAATGAATTGATTGTTACTTGGCAAACGTTTTGTGGAAAGAGCAAAATGTTGACATGCATAGTATTATTTTTTTTGTCGCAAAACAGAAGAGAAAGCGTGGATGATTTGTAAAAACTATAATGCCGAGCCAATTTGTAAAAAGAAACGGCTGTCTGTAACGATTCGATTGGAAAAAACAGGTTGAAAGCCAAATTCAGAAAATTAAGAACCGTCGATCGATGTTATTGGAATGAACACACTCGAGATGTTCAATCGTACACAAGTCCGTACATTCAAAAAAATCTCGTTCGACTGGAAAGTTTCGCATCACTGCAATACCTATCTCAGTGGTAAATTCAATTTACCCATGTTTGAACCATTGAAAGCCAAAACAATCCAATGAATAAATCTGTCCGCCGCGTGGATGCGTCAACTATACAATCCAGTATAAATAAAACTATTACAAATCCGAAAGAATAATGTTATCGCAAAGTGCTCAATCTCATGCTTAAACGTATTGCCTTCAATTAACAAATCATCCTGCGGATGTGTGTTATAGCTGTTTGAGAAGAAAATAGTCCCGATGGACACGCGGAAACTTTCGCGACGACAGCGCTAAACAAGGCGAGGAAAAAGAGAGCGCTGCTGCTTGCTGCTGCTGCACGAGTGCAACTCGCATTCCGAGAGTGTCGATGCTACTATGCGATCGCCGTCAGAGATATTTCCTTGTTTTTTTTTTATTATTCTTCTTGGTTTTTTATAGTTAATTACTCTTATAGCTCAATAATTATTAGGAGATAAAATGTAGTATCAAAGTGATCGGGGCTTGCGTTTGATGAACTTTTTTTTTCAGTTTTTAAAGGATTTTTATAATTCAAGCTTTCGAAAAGTCGCACAAAGAAATGCTGCTGTATACTGTCATCTTATTCTATTCACAGCTCAAAAAGTGCGTGTACTTTGGGTCTTCTCCATACCGAAGGAATATTCTCGCTATGTTTTGTTCCATATGAATTCGAACCCACCGAAACACTGATATAGTTCACCATCTACTTCCCTAAAAGTATTCAGTAGTTTAAGGAGTATCGAACGGAAAATGCGTCAGCTCTATTTATAAAATATTTTTCAAATCAAATAAAATGTATAATTTTATATTTAAAGTGAAAAAGAACTTATCTTATCTTATAAGATCTTATAAAAAGTGCAAAAGATAGTGGATTCTTAAATCCCAGTATACGTATAGAAGGTGAATGGTAAACTATATTAATGTTCCAGGTGGTAAAAAATCACAGGAATATTTCCTTAGTGTAATAAAGCCATCACGCGTTGGCAGCAAAAATTAATTTTTCACACGCAACATCGAAAAGAAAAAGAAATCCGATTGCCACAAAGAATATAAAATCGACGTCGTCCGACAAACGTACATGTACACGCGTAGGTATGAGCGCGTTGCTGGGTCTCGTCGGAGGAAGTGTGCGCGATGCGAGCGCACGGCGATCAGGTGAAAGTGGAATCGGCCATCAGCCGTTGTATTCGCGATTGGCCAATCCCTCAAGGGGACGTCATCATCATCCTCTCCCATATCATTTTCTCTTTCAAGCCCATACGAGAGTCAACGATGTTACGTTGCATGCGTTTGTTTATGGAGGAAGCTGCGAGAATTATTGATGTTTTTTTATTGAAAATTTGTTTATATTTTAATAGAGATAATAAATATTTGGAAAAAGATATACATAAATATAGGTTCACTTTTATATCGTTCATGGGAATATAAAAAGCTTTGAAATTAACTTTATGTATACTGTCTTGATATTTTTACATCTCAATTAGGAATTTAAGTCTTGAATTATGTTTAAGTATGAAGAGCCGTGATGATTTTCGAAATTTCATTTCTACTGCACACTCGAATTCCTGTTTGACTGACGAGTTTTACAATAAACTTTGGTATCCTTATACGTAAAATTTATTATTTATCATATTATTTAAAACAACTTTCTTGATAGAGCTATTTGACCGAGAAATTTCACATGAGAATGATTTTTTGAGGTCGTCGAAATTGACTTTCA